ACGTAACTCACAGAGTCAAATGCAAAATGAAAACGTGAGGCTCCTGGCTCAAAAACTATGAAGAATGTCCAGATGGAGACAGCAGAGCCTGAAACCCAGCTCGGCCCCTGTGACTGCGCAGGTCGCATGCTCATGAGGTCAGCCCTGCTCTTGAGACCTCCTGGACTCCTGTGTCCTTCAACCGTTCACTACCAGTTTACTCGTGTAGCTATTTAAAGTTGGTTTATTCCTAGAGTCCAGGGTCTCCCCAAGAGCAGGGCCTGTGTAGGGTTTACACACAGCTGTCTTTCCAGCTCCCAGCATGGGTCTCTCACAGAGATGCTCAGTAAATATTCTAGAATGAATGCACAAAAAGGGATGGAGAGGAGACAGAACTGGGAAAAGGAGGGGAGGAGGGAAAGAGTGGGCTGGACAGGGAAGGACAGGAGAGAACCAGAAGGAAAGTCCATGGGAGACTGCAGAGAGTAGGCTGGGGAGCAGGCAGGCCGGCGGGGCGAGGGGACTGGTGATACTCACAGCTGGTCGAAGGGCTGTCGGTGCCATCCAGTTCTGCCCTGGGGAAGCCGCGCCCTGCACGGGCCGTGAGTAGCGCTGACTCGATGGCCCTCTCATGGGCTGTCAGCACGATGGTGGGGGCCCGGCCTCCAGCCCCAGGGCCCGACAGGGTCTGCTGCATGAAGGCCAGCTTGTCCTTGGTCCTGCGTTTCATGTCATCCCATCTGTGCTTAATGTCCTTGACGGAGCGGGGCACCTGGCTGACGGAGGTGATTTTCCGGGCTATGCCTTCCCAAATCTTGTCCCTGTCAGCATGGGACAGCCGCATGGTCTCCCTCCCAAAGAGCACAGCTTCATGGTGGGTCACCTCTGTGACAAGAATGTCCAGCTCCTCCTTGGAGAACTTGGGCTTCCTCTTACGCTCGGCCAGGTGTGCCACATTCCTTGGGTTGAATATCCCACAAAGCACATGGGGTAAATGACCGGCAACGCAGGTGGTCCTCCTCCTTCCTAATTGCCGGCCCCCAGCTGGAGAGCCAGGAGGCACCTGGGGCAACCTGGCCCCCACCACACCCTCCTCCTACCAAGAGGTCCCTTCCACTACTCCTCGGAGGGGAGGGTGGAAAGAAGAGACGGCGTTACATGGGAGGGAGCACTGGACTCAGAGTCGAAGCCCTCAGGTTCAGGGCCTGCTTTAGCTCTTACTAGCGGTGAGAGCTAGGGCGGTTCAAGTTCAATCTTTCCTGCCTCACTCTCCCTGTCCAGAATAATAACCACAAGCCTTTGGGGTTATCACTAAGGAGGGAAAAACACCATGATGTAAGGGGCTTAAAATCGCTTAAAGATAGCAATAAAGGATCTTATCAAAATTAGGATTAGACCATTGCCTCTATAAAGCCATGTTTACCTACAGCCTTATAGCTGAATGAGTGGCTCGGAAGAAGAATACGTAAGCAGGGAGGCGGTTTACGATGGGCTGCCATGGGGTGTACAGCAGCTATGCCATGACTAGCGTGTGGCCACCGAAAGCTTATTCTGCCCAGCGGCTATCTCCCCCTTCTCCTTCCCCTTCCCGGTCAGTTCTCCAAGCCCCCACCTTTGCACAGGTGCAGGAAAACAGGTTTCCCTCCCATGGGAGTGCTTTTTCTGTGGGGTGGGCTGCTGTGGCTTTTTGGTAGAATTTGAGGAACCCACGACTGTCCAGAGCGAGACAAGTTCCACTTTGGTGGACACGAGGGGGATCTGGGATTCCCTCTCTACTGAGCAGCCACGGGCCCTGGGCAAGGGGCACAGCATGGCCCTTCCATCCCACGTGGTCCCTGCTCTGGCTTTGGAACTCGATCCCTCCACATCGTGGCTCTGTCACCCTTTAACTAGTGATAAAAGGTTAAAAAAAAATTCACCCAAGAGAGGACATGAGGGTGTGGAGGAAAGCTCAGAGCCCAATTGATTCCTTGGACTCTTCTGAAACCGGGAGGGGAAGGCCAGTGGCACCAACATCCTTTAGCCCTCACCTTCCTAGTCACGCACCCAAATTACCAGGGCCCAGAAGATGGGAAGAAGGCTGGGGCCTCATTGCCCAGTCCAAGATGATGGCAGGGACATGGAGTAGACCTGGGACTACAGACTGAGTCTCCTTGAGCCAAGACATGGGACTCGTGTGAAGCCAGTCTCCTTCTCCAAAAAACTAGGGTGACAATTCTAGTGCCACTGCCCAGGGCTATCAGGAGGAGCTTCTCACTCTTGCCACTATTGCAGTTGGGGCTAGATAAGTCTTTGTGGGGAAGGAAGGGGTGTCCTGTGTGATGCAGGATTTTATCAGTAACCTTTGCTTCTACCTGAAAACACCCAACCACCAAACATGTCTCCAGGCCTTGCCAAATGCCCCCAGGAGCACAAAATAGTGCCCGGTTGAGAACGACCACAGGCAGATCACCTAGCACAGTACTGTCAGAAAGGCCAGCTAAACACGACAGTGCCCACTCCCCTCCTGGCCCACCATTAATTTTGTTAAGAAACTAACTGAGTCCATTCAATCATCCCCAAGCCACGCCATGACAGTGCAAGGGAGAGCATCTGCAGATCAGAAAGAGCTACACCAATGGAAACTGGACATGAAGGGAGAGGAGGGTTCCCAGGATGTGCTTTCCCTCACTCCAGCCACAGGAGGGGCATCTCCATGGCAACAAACTGCATCCCCAAACCCAACCTGCTTTTCGAGCAGTCATAAGACGAGAGCCCACGGGCTGTGACTACCCAGATGCCATCTTGAATCAGGACAGGCTGGGAGCAGAATAGAACAGATCCCATGCTAGTGAGGTGGCAGTAGCGGAACCCCCCAAATCCCTGCTCACCAGTCCCATCCAGGCCCAGGAAGCCAGGCTTCACCTGGTCCTTTGTGCACAAGCAGGAAGAACACCGGCCTAGGATTCCAGAGCCAGGAGTTCAAATCCTCATTCTGCCACCCTGACTGCATGCTCTTGAGCAAGACCTTACCCTGCCCTGGATCTCAGTTTGACCACCATGGCATGAAGATCCACACACAGCAGTGGTTCTCAATGCTAGCAGCACATTAGAATCACTAGCTTTAAAATACCAAGGCCAGGGGCCCATCCCCAGCCCAATTAAGTCACAATCTGCGGTACCAGAGGATAGCTAAGTTAGTTCGGATGATAACTACCCTTCTTTGGGGCTGTGGGAAGGCCTTGTCCCCAAGGAGAAAGATCAGAGGTGGGTAAAAGAGTAGAACAGATGCAGCTCTATGGGCAAAGCTCCCGACGCCTTAAAAGCAACAGCACAGAAAGCCTGATTCCCCAGTGGACACACGCACACTCTCCCCTGCTTGCCTGGAGCCAGGCTGCAGCCACAGGGCAGGCGGTACAGCGGCGCAGGCCGAGGCTCCAAACTGTGTAGCCACCCTATAGCCTGTCTAGACACCGCACCCCAGTGTCCCCAGACACAACCCTGGCCCCTTGGAAGGCCCACGTCAACAGACCCCTCCTCTTTCACCTGGGTCCTGAAGCACACTGTGCCTCAGAGCAAAAACTACACTGGAAAGTCATCTCTGTGGTGGGAGGTGCGAACCTGGGAAGGGCCAGCAGGGGATGGGTCAGGGGGTGTGGTGGGGCAGGGCTGCGTGATCCACCCCGGTACCCAGTACGCAGTCTGACTTGAACTAGATGATCAGTAGGCAGGTGGTGAACTGCAAGTGCTCAGCTGACCCGGACCCTGTGGCAGTAAGAAGAGAAGGCATTTGGGGGTGTCAAGCCACCTCCCTGGGGTGTGTCTGATCAGCTGTGTGCAGGGAGGCTGGGGGCAGTGGGTGCTGTTCTCCATACTGCAAGGCAGCAGGCCTGCTCGTCTCTGGCACCTCTGTTCTGCACCCATCAAACGGCAATGAGAACACCTGCCCCGACACATAAGAGGGTGAACACTAAAGTGCTCTGAGAGGTGTGAACTGCTGCTCAGCCACTCAGAGCTGTCTGATAGGAGTACAGGTGGGCAGTGAAGCCACTGCGAAGGGCACAGGAGCCCTCATCACACACTCCCCACCTCAAACCTGTTTCTCCTCATTTGCTCAGAAAGTCTCAGAGTTGAAGACAGCACGCCCCCCCTTAGGAAGTCCTCATCTGCCCTCTTTCCAAGCACGATCCCACCTCCAGCCCAAGACCTCATGGGTCATGGAACTGTACAAATGCCAGCAGAGGGCCCCAGGTCCCCGGTGTGGCTGTGCCCCGCACTCCAGACATCTGAGGCTTCCTTCCCTCCCATCCAGATCCAGATCCCCAGTCAGTGCTCCTAGGTCCCCAAAAGAGGCCATCAAGCAAGCAACCAGGCATGTCGGGTCTCCCACACCGTCCACAAACCCCACCCGGCAGAGCCCCTCGCACATGGCACAGACCATCAGCATCACGCTGGACCCGTGGTTCCAGGCTCAACTCAGCCAGGGCCAGTCTCCTGCCTCCTCTGGCTGGCATTTAAGGTGCAAACTTCTGTCCCAAACACTGGAACAGGGTAAAGTTCACTCTTCAAAGTACTCAAACTTAGGCAGCAAGCACTGTCAAAAACTGAGCTGAAAACTTTGTCAGAAGCCCTCTCTTCCATGGAGGCTGTTTGAACTGCTGGGGCTGCACTGGGACGGTTCTCACACTCTGAGAAGGGGTCACGGTCCTAGGTGGGGGACAGACATTCTCCCCCTCCTCCCCCAGGAATGCTGCCAGGAGCCTGGGCCCAGGTCCTCCAGACACACTGCCAAGTGAGCAGCCCGAGGGGTCCCTGCATCCCAACAGCCGGGCCACAGGCTGTCCTCTAGAGCCCCCTAATGGAGGCCTAGGGGAAAAGGTGGGCCCTTCAGAGCTAGATGCGTCCCAAATCCTGCGAACAACGTCGGTCTCTGGGCCTCCAGAGGTCTCCACCACTGGAGATCCCATAGGACCAACACACTCCCTTGGCTCCTTTCCAGAGGCCAGGCAAGACCCCCAGGACATCAGCAGAGTGGGGCTCACCTCATCCAGTTGGCTTTGGTTTCGTCTGAGCCATCTATGGACTTATAGCGGTTGTTCTTGTCCACAATCTGGAAGAAAGAGAGAGAGTCTAGGATGGCCATTCTAGAGGAGCTCTCATGTCCCTGGGCTCCTTCCTGACCAGAGCCCAGGGCCTGGCCCCGCCTGCTGCCACCCCCTTCCCCTGAAATGTCACCACTGCTATAGAACTGAAATGCAGGCTGGGTTCAGAATCCCTGCTACCTATCCTCCACCCATTCCCATTCTCCTAGAGACACTGGGGAGCCCATCCTCCTAGACACACAAAGCCCTTCAAACGTGTTTTGCATTCCTGGGAGATGGGGAGCAGAGAGATGGGACCACCTCCTTCCTCTGTCTTGATGGAATACTCAGCAATATGGCTGACAAGGGGCATTTCCATTGGCCTCCAGTTGCAGCTACAAAGACTAAATAAATCTTTCTCTCTTTACAGTTTCTGTGGGAGACAGAGGCCACTGCTGGATGACTGAGCATATGTGATTTGAGAGGGTTCCTCCTCTCCCCAACCTCTAAATGTTCAAGAGCCTCAGGGTTTGAAGCTGGGCTGCTTTCTCTTTTATTTCATCATCACTCTTTAATCAGAGTTCAGCTGGGTATGAAATTCTAGGCTAAGTTTTATTTTCTTTCAGCACTCTGAAGATTACTAAAAAGACTGCCACTGGCGCAAAAGCAACAACTGTCGGTTTCATGTTGCTCTTTTGTGGGTAATCCTGTCTGTGGTAAATTTTAACACTTTCATTTTACTCTTGATTTTCTGCAGCTTTGCTACGTCGTTTTGAAGTGGAGATTTACTTTCCTGAAATTCTCCTTATTGCTTGATGAACACCTTCCAACTCCAAGACTATATTTTTTTCAGTTCTGGAAAATTCTCAGTCATTAGGCTTTTAAGTAACAGCTTCTCAGTCATTTTCTCCCCTCTCATTCAGTAAAATTTCTGTTAAACAGGTATGAGAGTAGCTCAATCTCTCCTCCATGTCTTTTAACTACTCTTCCATATTTTTCTCTATCTTTCTGGGCACTCTCTGGAAAAATTTCTCAGAACTCTCTTCCAGTCCACTAATTGTCTCTTCAGCTGTGTCTATTCCAGGGTTTCTCCCATCTACTGAGGTGTTTCCATCTTTCTTTGCTCTCTTTTTTAATGAGTATCTTTATTTTGATGAATATTTTTCGTTCCCAGAATTTTTAGTTTTTTGCAGGTGCATCCTTTCATTCACCCTACCTCTTTTTGTTTCATAATGATATGTTTCTTCTTTTTCCTTTTCTAACAGCTTTACTGAGGCATAATTGACATATAATGTACACCTTGATACGTTTTGACACATGAGCTAGATCAGGGTTGGTTCCCTGAGGACTCAGTGAAGCAGAGACTGGGAGAATTCCTGGGAAATGGGAAACAGATGGACAGACACCATGCCTAGACTCCTACCTAACCTGGTGCCATTCATAAGCCTCTATCATTCTCTTCAAAGCAGCAGAGAAGTATTTTATCAGTGTAAATCAGATTATGTCCCACGCCAGCTCAAGACGGCATGCTGCACTTACAATAAAGCTCATATTTATGGCCACAGCCTTCACAGCCCACAGGCGTGCTCCCCAACTTACCCTGGGCCTCTCAGGTCCTTTTCACTTTTCTGCAGCCTTGGTGCCCTGAGAGTGAGCCTTAACATTGGCCAGTTCCACTGCCTAGAGCCTCTTTTATCTACCCTTAAAAATAACAATAATCATGAAATATTTCAAGCGTTCAGAAGTTATAAAGAAGAATGCAGCCGACAACCCTGTGCCCACCAGCTACAGCAACAAAAATTAACATGAGTTATATTTGTCTCAGGCCTCTCTCTCCTTTTGCTTCAAGAAAGTGCCGGGTTGCAGTGGAAGACCTCTCTGCCTCCAACTTCTCTTTCCCTTCCTCCCTCCAAGAGTAACCACCATTGTGGAGATGATGGGAAGCCTTCCCATTTTTATGACACAAGGACTTTTCAAAGAACAACACACAGGACTGTTTGCATGTGCGTAAAGTTTACGGAAATGGCACCCAAGCAAACATATCCTTTTCCAACTTTTTTCCCACTAAGCTTTGAGTATGTGATCCCTTCTTAGCTTTCGGTTCTCAGATTATGTCAGCTCCACAGAAAAAGCCTTTCCTAGTCTTGAACCTAAAGAAGTTCTTCCTTGCTACACCTCAACCTCCATATCCCCGGCCTATCATGGCATCATCTCTGTTACATCATCCTGTAACTTCCCTTAGGAGGCCTAATTACAGTGAGCATTTTGTTGATATGTATTTGCCAATTTGGTAACTGACTGGCTCGCTGTCTAGACTGTAAGCTAATGAGCACAAAGCATGTGGCTGCTGTGATCACGATGGTGGCCCTGGTTCCTAACACAGGGAAGGCATGGCACATGGTGGAATACTGGTTGGATGAATGATTGGATGAAGAGCCTTTTAGTTAAAAAGCAAGTTAAAGGGAAAAAGTTGGCTGAGCGCAAAGCTCACACCTGTAATCCCAGCACTTTGGGAGGCTGAGGTCAGAGAATTGCTTGAGCCAAGGAGTTTGAGACTAGCCTGAGCAACACAGCAAGACACTGTCTCCACAAAGAATTAGCCAAGGGTACATGCCTGTGGTCCCAAATACTCAGGAGGCTGAGGCAGGAGGATTGCTTAAGCCCAAGAGTTTGAGGCTGCACTGACCCATGATTGTACCACTGCACTCAAGCCTGGGTGACAGAGCAAGGTCGTGTTTCTAAAAAAAAAGAAAAGAAGAAAGAAGCAAAGAAGGAAGGAAGGAAGGAAAAAAGAAAGGAAAGAAGACAGAAAGGAAGAAAGAAGAAAAAAATTACAAAATATTAAGATTTTAGTAAAAATGAAATGAGTGCTATGCCAGAGCCAGCTTATACTGAGAGCCAACTGTTAAATTTTCAGGAATTTTGTGAACCAGTTGTTAAACACAGCCACTACAAATTCAATGACATAAGCTTACAAGTCAGTAAATGATACATTTTTAAAAGGCAATAAATACTCAAAACTTACCCACTTCTCAGTTATTTTACTACATTTGACTGACTATTCTCTATGTTCTGGAGGGTACTGGCCTCTACTGTAGCCGCATAGTAGAAAGAACATACAATAGCTGTGATTGCACATTTCTTCCCAACTGCACATTCAGTGATTTCATGTTAGTAGCTTGAAATCAGCCATGGGGGGAGCATTTACACCACGGAAATTGGCACTTATCCTCACCATCACCATCACCGTCAGTTGTTAAACATCTACCAGCATACCACTACACGTATAGATGAGCATAGAAAGTCTATGAGGTACATTTCAAACTCTCAACTCTCGTTACCTCTAGAGCGGAGGAAAGAAGGAGGCAGGGATGCTTTTGCTTTATTTGTCCATGAGACTATACTGACTCTGTGTTTTAAAAATCGCAGAAAAATAAAAAGAGAAAACATGTAACTCGGGCTTCGCCTCCCATGGCAGTCTCCTCAGGTGATGGCCCAGTCTGCAGGGACCCTCCCCTGGAGTCTCAGAGCACCCCGGACTTTATCATAACACTACTTCCTCAACATTATCATTTCTGATTGCTCCCCTATTTTCTGGGGGAAAAAAAGAAGCATGTCTAGGTCCCACAGCCAGTAGTAGGAGCACATAGATGGTAGTAAGAGCCATGGGGCCAGAGGAGTTGGCTAGAATTTCAGCTTCACTGCACACAAGCTGAGTGGCTTTGGGCAGATGGCTTTGCAGACCATGCCTCAGTTTCCTCATCTATAAAATGGGATAAAAACCAGCCTTGCAGCACTGCTGTCATAATGAAAGTGGAAGACACTCAGTGAGTGGTTACTGTTAGCATTGTGATCATCATTGAGATCATTAAGAGTTCAAATATTAGTTACTACTAATTTAGGGCAGTGGGAGCCCTGTGGGTCAACACCGAGTGGTGATAAGCCTTGGCAATTTCATCTGCACAGAGAGGCCTGGGTGAGGGCTGTGAAGGACAGAGGAACTGCCTGAGACCTCTGTCTGTTGGGTTCAGGTCTAGAGCTTTTCTGAGGGGTGTTTTTTGGCTTATCTTTCCCATCAATCAGGATTTTTTCAAATCAAGTACTTATTCATTCATTCATTAAACCAGCAAACATCATGGAAGGAGTGGGCATGGTGGCAGGCTCTGGGGATAGAATGGTGACACAGGCAGAGAATGTCTTTGCTCTTGGAAAGCTCACAGCCTAGCGGGACACAGAAGAGAGACCACTGTGATACGGCATGGCCAGCACCATGGTGGGGAATTATGTGGGATTATGGGATCTCTGAGCTGGAGCCCTGGACCTGGGAATCTGCTGAGGACCTTTCTTGGGGACATGGAGTATAAGCTGAGATCTTAGAGAAGAGACAGATGGTGCCCTGGGCAGAGGTGCAGGGCAGGCAGGATCTCACAGGGCCTGTGGATCATGTTACAGGCCACTGATGAACCCAGGCCACCCTGAGTAGAGAGCAGGCTGTGGGCCTCCAGTTCTGGCACTGAGATGGGTCCAGGAATGGCAGCAGGGCCCGATGCTCAGGAGCAGCCCCCAGAAGGCTGGTCTCCCAGCGTCTTCCTTGCCTTATCCCTCAAGGTCAACTCCTTGGTCCCTCTGAACTTAGTACTTTGGACCAGCCAGAAGCTCTGAGCACTGTGATGCAAGGCCTTTGATAACTTGGGGAACCCACATGGTAAGAAGCTTCCTTAGCCTGGAGGAGAAGAGACCTGAGAAAGCAGAGCCATCATCATCAGATGTGGGAAGGACAACCATGTCGTGGGGACAGGATGGTTAGAACCTGCTTGCATCTAGGGGGACGCAGGCCTGAACTCAGCACAAGGAGGGATGGCCTAACACGAAGAAGAGTAAGGATAAGAACCCTGTGAGGTGGTGAGCTTGTTACTGGGAGTATTCAAGCAGGGGATGATTGCTAGTAGGGAGGCTGAAAAAAGGACTTGCTCATTCAGTGGATATCTGTCCTAAATAACCTCAAAGTTCTGTCTAAAATGAAGATTGT